ACACTTCAACAGATACTCACAACTGAACAAACTGCCTTTCTGGTATGTTTGAGTGTAGCTTGTTGTGTCACTTTACAAAGGCCAATAAACCACAGACTCCAAATATGCTGGCAGTCAAGTATAGTACGTTTAGACAACTTGTATAAGCAGTTACTTTGTTATTGAACTTGATTCCCTTTGCAAAATGTAGTCAAGCTAGAACTCAGTTAAAGTGATGGGTGCCTGCAACTTGATGTGCAAATAAAAAGCATTCTGAGAGTCGCTGGGGCTTCAGCTGCAAAGATTTTACAGCCACTTGTACGCTGCTCTGTCTAAGGAACTTGTGCCGATGCAGATCATCACCTCACCTTTATTTTTTGAGAAGCTTCAGCTTCTTTGTCAGCGCAGAGCCTTCAAATGGCAATTTAAAGTTCAAACACTTTGTTGATCAGCAGCGAGTTGACTGTAATAAAACGCAAACACGCCCGTGACCCAACTTTTTGTAGAGATTTGCCTCTTACCTTATATCTGATATTTAACTGACATAATTTGGGCTCCTGACTATTAGGTGTGAATCAGACTGCATAAATACTAAACAATTAATCAAAAAAATATTAAACATATTTATGACACAAACGATCATTTGTTTAAACAAGTTATGTTCAAAAAATGACTGAAATCATTCAGAAGTAACTAGAAGAAGAAACTATACTTCTTAAACTGTTCTTTTAGTCTTGGTGCATTCATTTTAATGTGATATGACAAAGAAAAGCACGAGTGTTTGTGAAGCTACAGCATTAACAGTTAATATGTGCATTGTTGTTTTTAAAAAAAATAAAGATGAACTGTGCATTGACAAATATCAGTGTTGGACAGAAATTAAATATCTAAATGCTATGAAATACAAAATTAATGGAGGGGGAATTCTGTGGTGACACATTGTAAGAAGGTGTTCGTGATCATGATCAATGAGGAAAAATTAAAGTGAAGAAGGGAACAACATTCTGAGAGGAGCGGTACTGTAGCTACAAAGAGCAAAATATAGAGAAACAGCCACACTTGGTGGATGGGGAGTTGGGTGAGACGAAGTGAGCGAGGGGGGAGGGATTGAGAAGGGCTTGAAATGAGAGAGATGCAGAGGATTTTTCTCTCTCCCTTTTTTTTTTTTTTAAACCAAGCATCCCTGGCTGCAGCACGTGTCACAGAGCGTGTTCATCACATGAACAGCAGTGTTCTCTTTCTCTCCGCCCACACACTCTCTCACACACACAAAGCACTAGGGGGAAGCACATTCACAAGGATGAAGAAGTGGAGACCCTGCCTCAGTTGAAACGCGCACACACACACACGGATAAATTTCATTCACATGTGTGCATTTTCCTTACCATGAATGAAGCCTAATGCCTATTCATAAAAAAGATACACAGAACATTATTATCACACAATAATTAATAGCGTCTGCAACTGACTCGCCCACAGCTTGTGTTGGTAAACATGGATGCAGCAAATGTGTATTCCCGGAGCCAAATCAAACTCAAGCAAATTCTTGCGTAAGTGCTGACCCAAGTCTTTGTCACTCTTGTGCTGTACTGATGAATGGCTGCATCCTTCTTATATAATAGGACCATTTTCTCAATAAACTCTAATGTCAAAGGGGGGAGGGGGCACTTCTAAGGCGCATGTCACGTCACTATCCCTCCCCCCCTTTGCAAAAAGCTCCCTTTGGTCTAATTTATTTCCCTATAATGGAGTTTCGCACACACGCAACAGGACAGACACTGGCTCCCTTATATAATATGGCATGCTGAGGGCCAAGACTGGAGGAGGGAGTGGAGAGGAGAAAACTGAGCACTACTACACATTAGATTGAAAAGCTGCTTCACTGGAAGCAGAAATACGCAACACTGCATCATTTAAAAAAACATCTGTTTAAAAATAATCTTAAAATGTTCAGACTGAATGTCCTTTTAAAAGACAGATTCTTGCACATTGTTGAAAATATTTAAAATTTCTTCTGGTGCATTGATTCATTTCTAAAATCTGCAAGAATTTATTTTTGAAAAAAGGTTCAAAAAGTATTTAACGACCATTCGTTCACTCAGGATTGAAAAGAACGAAAAGCTGAGCTGCAGACATGGTTTGGGCTGACAGCAGGTTTGTGGAAACAGTGCAGCAGAAAGGCTGGGGAAGCCGCCTTGACTCATGCTGCAGCTCTGCTGTTCTGCCACTAGGAGTCCCAAACACTAAGGGGAAGACCAGTCATTGGCAGAGGAACTCCAGAGAAATCCCTGCTCTGCTCTGTTCTGCTCTGCATGTGAGAGCTGCAGAGCTTCAGCACAGACACAGATAGTGCAGTGATTACATGAAAAACTGACAAGTTTCCTCAAACCAAAGAATATCAACTGCAAACCTGCTTGCAGAAAAGGGAAGTTATTCTTATCTGATCCACTTTTAAGAGATTTTTTTTACCTGCACTATCCACCTGCCCATGCTCAAGCCTATCTGACCAGGAAATAGCACAGCTGCCTCGTGTTTAACCACCATGTGTGGTTGTAGAAAACACATGTTTAAAGGATGAGTCAAGTCATGAAACTTTTCTGGTTGTTCTAGAGAGCAAGTCCATCTAAGTATTGGTTCTATAGAACCAATTCTTAGATTCATATATAGATTCATATATAGATTCATTAAATTCTTAGAATCATACATGATTGGGGGGAAAAAACAGAGTTCTTACTTTTATTATTTAAAAGATTGAGTTTACTGTAGCTGCTAAAATCTCACATAATCAGCCACTTGCTACAAGTCTACAGTTTGCATTAAAAGTGGAAGGCTGTTGGTTAATAGATATATTTCCTCATCTACACTCTTAGAGTGACATGACTTTTCAACCTTCCTGTTTGTGTTGTATGTGGCACAGTCAGAATTTACTTGCTTAGATATAAATAAAGGTTTGTAAACCCTGACATCTCTCGAGAAAAAAACTGGATTCAGATGTGGAGTATAACTAATAGAAGTCAGAGGACGATTTCTTTAGAGCGAAGTAAAACTCGACAAGGCTTGACACATGCTTCATGGATATTAAAATAAAGAAGCTCCGAGACTATTCACGTGTTAGAGGTAGTAAAACTTGTTACAACATGCGTCTCTGTCGTTAGGTGAAAGGTGGGGACAAGGAGTCTCACCACTTGCGTAAAAGACATATCACACCACTGCCTAAACTGAGCAGACCTGCGCATCTGGTACAACCAGCTGAGGAGGACACCTCATCCCTAACGCACAGCTACACCCCCACCCCTGCTCACTCACACACCTGTTCACCTCCTGCCATCTCCAACCGCTGTGATTGGAAACAAACACCAGACTTGTCAGACTGGTGGCAGGCAATTGGTTTCAGGGAGTGGCGTGCAAGTTCACGAAAAGAGTAGACAAGAACAAATGCGACGCTGTGGAAAAGTTGGATAACCGTTTTTTTTCCACGAGCCTTTAGGTGAACTACATAAGAATCATTCGCTGAAATGCACCTTTCAGGAGTTTCCCCTTCACTCTTAACGCCGAGCATGTTGGGGATAACATTTGATGCACCAAAAACTGGCTCATAGAATAAAATTATATAAACACAAGAAATCACTTTTGGTTTCTTAAGAATGCGAGAGATAAACCTCGAGTGCGAAGTTAGTGCTATATCTGACAAGGCACTGGGGGTGGTGGAGGTGGAGTGAAGGTGGTGATCACAATTTCTATACGGCCAATGGATGACGAAGCGATGAACAAGCGCATGACTCATCAGTGTGCACCGGTATTCCTCCGCATCTTCCATCAGAATCAGTAAAAATGTGCATTAGTCATTCCTAAAAGCACCCTACCTTTGCGTCATGCATTTCATTCCTTCTTATGGCGCACAGGGCATCAATTAAACATCCATTTAATAAATAAATAAATAAAAACGCCGATTTGGAGATGAAGTGCGTCACGGTGCACAGATAAACATCTGTGTTATTAAAAAAACACACACACAACAGCCATTCAGAACATCCGCCTGGTTTTTGGATGACAGAAAGGGGGAGAATATCGACCTATCCCGATGCGAGGGAGAGTGGCTGGCAAATTGCGCAGCAAGAGGCTCCAGACGCAGCAGTCTTCTCCACATAGGAGACTAGAGAAGTGGGTCAAGCCATGGCAGGGCGATTCCTATGAGACTAGTCTCCACCAAACCAAAATATACTCATGTTTGACGGCTAAATCACTCCCATTTGGCCAAAAAGTGCACTAAACAGTCAAATCCTACATATGACACTCTAGTTTTAGCAAACAATATGTAGGGCAAACGGAAGGAATGATTTAAAAGAAACCGACGACACAAACAAAAGAATGACTAAATATCGCCTGAATATTTAGATATACAAAGTAAAAAAATAGATTAACACACGTGTCAGAATGACAGACAAAGCACTCCAGTGTGACACAGATAAGTGAAAAATTATCTAGATGTAGGTCACATTTTAATTAAGCATATGGGTTTGTCCTACATCATGCGGATGGGCTAATGTGGTTCAGTAGTGCTCTGGCTGAGAGCTCACCCACATAAAACAGCTCTCTGAAAAGTGCGCATAGCCTGCGCAATTTGGCTCCTGGCTCACCAATGTGGGGCATCCCCCCACCGCTCCAAATGTGGGTGAAAACGCTGATTGGAGCCCCTGGCAGCAGACGGTGCTGTGTTTGACGCGAGGAGGAAGAAAAAGCACAATTGAGCTAATAAGGACCATTATCTTGTCAGTCAATCAGCTGCTTACCTGCGCTTGTTACGCAACACCAGCCTCCCCTTGAATTAAGCCACACACAAAAAAAGAAGGAAAAAAAAAACGCACAAGAACGCAGCTTTTTCTCTGTGCCAAAGTGAAGTTTGAGCTCAATAACCTCATTCTTGTGTTTGCACGTCGAGTCCACCTGCCTACTTCTGAGCTGCCCTCTTCGTGACCGTGATGTGCTGTAGGTGGCGTGAAAATTTATGTGACCCCACTCACCTGCCCATTTGCCCAGCTTCGGAGAGAGCAGCTGCCCATTTCCCCAGACCCAGATCCTAAAGCCTGAGATGAGCCTGTAGAGCAGCCACAGCGCCAGGGAGGCCACAGTGAACGCACCGACCCAGAAGAGAGGCGTCTCGGCCCTGCGGATCATCTCCTCCACGTTCATCCAGTTCATGGCAGCGGCTCTCGGTGACTCGGCGTGTGTGAGAGTGTGTATGTGGAGACCTCAATTTTAGGCAATGTGCTCTAATTTCCAAGCCACAACGTGAGAGAGAGTCCCTTTATAAGGAGGTTGTAGCATCACACACACTCCCCCAACACTTGTCTAGCCTGATTTAAAGCGCACCGCCCACCTCCTACTCCGCGCCGCCCTCCGCCACTCTTCACTGGCTGCAGCGGCTGCTCCTCCGCACGTCCGCCCCTCCGGTAGGCGCATTTACATGTCAGACAAGTCCAGAGCTTCCCCCATTCATTCGATTTTCTGTATGAAGCAGGGTGGGTCAAAGGGAGACCGGAATGAGGAGCGATTGGGCAAACATTACGGCAGCTCCCATCCGGAGTCTGTCATTGGCTCCCACCAGAACAGGTTTGACGGTTTCAGTCAGGATTATGAAACCCTCCAAACCCACGCTCTCGGAAAAAAAACTGCCCACACCACTTTATGAATGAAAGGATGCTCTCATTGGTGAAAAATGTGCGCGTCCTCCCGCCCCATCGAGAGCATTTGGAGGCAGGTTATTGGCTAAACTGATGCCAGTCTGTGAGGTCAGCCTGCTTCCAAGTAGACATGAGTCACTCTTCTATTTTAAGTATTCAGTCTGCATCATACTGCTGATAACCACAGAAAAATGTAGAAATCAGGTGCACCGAGGCATTCTGACTCTTAGATTCGCTCGTGTTTGCGCCAGAGCACTCTTCTACACTCTCCTCTGCCGCAACATGCAAGTACGAGCTCTTCGTGAGGAAAAACTACAAGCCCCAGCTCCACTCTCTAGCCTTTTTCCCACTCTCGCGAGATTGCCCCATAGTCGTAAGTTCCCCATCCAAAACATTGAGCAAGCGGGGAGATGAGATGTGATGTGTGTGTGCGTGTGTTACATAAACACTGAGACAGGCAAGTGGATATCCATCGCTTTATTTCACTATACTTCACATTCCCACGTTCACGAATGATCCAGTCCTGCTCACACACACCCGATGCTTCACCACATCCGACTGTCACGATTCTCTCAGCAGTATGTGCTCTCTGCCCCCCCCTCCCTCCCCACCAACTCCGACCTACAGAGGCTACTTGCAACAGCATTTTTTAGTCTCCAGCACACCCCATCTGCCGCCATGCTCCCCGTCTGTCTCTCTCAGACACACACAAACTAAACATGAAATCCTGACAAACCGAGGCTCTGTGGCACAAAGCAAAGCCTGTCATATACTCAGCAGAGGGACAAGAGTATAAAAATGTGTCCACATGCCGACCTGCATCATGCAGCTGCTCGCATTCTTTGACACAAGTGGAGGGATCGAAGTCAACGTGACACCGAGAAAAGGAGCAGCAAGTTGTGTAACGCTTTCAAAAGGGGGTGAAATTAAATGTATTAGTGACTAGCTGTCTCTCAGTCAGGTTACAAAGTGAAGAGTAAAATACAGTTTACAAATATAAAATAATCTTTACAAAAATCTATTTTCTGGCACTCATTTGAAGAATTTGTACCCTGGCATCACTGCACAGCCAATATCAGCCAGTTCAACAAATATTTACAGGCTCTAACATGCACCCATATTTTGAAAACAGACATTTACAGGAATGTTCGCATGATAAACAAGCATAGTGTGGCACAGCCAACAAAATTACATGAGTTTTTCAGGAGAGACACAATTAATTTTACATTTTCTTTGAACAGATTATAATTAAATATCA